TGAACCCTTTGGAATGATATGGATTTCTGCACAAATTGGTCATAAAATGTGATCTGATAATCATCTAAGTCACAACAATAGACAATCATAGTCTGCTTAAACTAATAACACACAAAGAATGAAATGTTGCCATGTTTTTATTGAACACACCATGTAAACATTCACAGTGCAGGTAGAAAAAGTATATGAACCCCTAGACTAATAACATATCCAAGAGCTAATTGGAGTGAGATGTCAGCCAACTGGAGTCCAATCAATGAGATGAGATTGGAGGTGTTGGTTACAGCTGACCTGCCCTATAAAAAACACATACCAGTTGTAGGTTTGCTTTTCACAAGAAGCATTGCCTGATGTGAATGATGCCTCGCACAAAAGAGCTCTCAGAAGACCTACGATTAAGAATTGTTGACTTGCATAAAGTTGGAAAGGGTTATAAAAGTATCTCCAAAAGCCTTGCTGTTCATCAGTCCACGGTAAGACAAATTGTCTATAAATGGAGAAAGTTCAGCACTGCTGCTACTCTCCCTAGGTGTGGCAGTCCTGTAAAGATGACTGCAATAGCACAGCGCAGACTGCTCAATGAGGTGAAGAAGAATCCTAGAGTGTCAGCTAAAGACTTACAAAAGTCACTGGCAAATGCTAACATCCCTGTTAGCGAATCTACAATACGTAAAACACTAAACAAGAATGGATTTCATGGGAGGATACCACAGAGGAAGCCACTGCTGTCCAAACAAAACATTGCTGCACGTTTAGAGTTTGCACAAGAGCACCTGGATGTTCTACAGCAGTACTGGCAAAATATTCTGTGGACAGACGAAACCAAAGTTGAGTTGTTTGGAAGAAAACACACAACACTATGTGTGGCGAAAAAAAGGCACAGCACACCAACATCAAAACCTCATCCCAACTTTGCTGTGTCAGGGCCTGGACTGATTGCTATCATCGAAGGAAAAATGAATTCCCAAGTTTATCAAGACATTTTGCAGGAGAACTTAAGGCCATCTGTCTACCAGCTGAAGCTCAACAGAAGATGGGTGTTGCATCAGGACAATGACCCAAAGCATAGAAGTAAATCAACAGAATGGCTCAAACAGAAGAAAATACGCCTTCTGAAGTGGCCCAGTCAGAGTCCTGACTTCAACCCGATTGAGATGCTGTGGCATGACCTCAAGAAAGTGATTCACACCAGACATCCCAAGAATATTGCTGAACTGAAACAGTTCTGTAAAGAGGAATGGTCAAGAATTACTCCTGACCGTTGTGCACATCTGATCTGCAACTACAGGAAATGTTTGGTTGAAGTTATTGCTGCTATAGGAGGTTCAACCAGTTATTAAATCCAAGAGTTCACATACTTTTTCCACCTGCTGTGAATGTTTACATGGTGTGTTCAATAAAAACATGGCAACATTTCATTCTTTGTGTGTTATTAGTTTAAGCAGACTGTGATTGTCTATTGTTGTGACTAGAGATGTTGCGAACTGTCCGCCGAACTGTTCGCGAACTGTCCGCCGGCGAACAATAGCGTGTTCGCGTTGGGCGAACATATCCGATTTCCGGTCCGCCCCCTATATGTCATCATTGAGTAAACTTTGACCCGGAACCTCACAGTCAGCAGACACTTCCTGGGAGGGAGGGTCTGCTGCTGATTGGGTGGAATGTGTCTGCTGGCTGTGAGGTTCCGGGTCAAAGTTTACTCAATTATGACGTATAGGGGGCGGACCGGAAATCGGATATGTTCGCCCAACGTGAACACGCTATTGTTCGCCGGCGGACAGTTCGTGAACAGTTCGGCTGACAGTTCGCGACATCTCTAGTTGTGACTTAGATGACGATCAGATCACATTTTATGACCAATTTGTGCAGAAATCCATATCATTCCAAAGGGTTCACATACTTTTACTTGCAACTGTTTAGCTGAAAGGTTTACAAATTTATCTCAAAGAGCTTAGATATTTATCAGTCCACTGTCAGACAAATAGTCTATAAGTGGAGACAAGTTAGTACTGTGCCTATTAGATGAGATTACATTTTATGACCAATTTGCAAAAAACCAACTAATTTATCCGGGATTACATACTTTTTTTTGCCACTGTATGTGGAAAAGGATTGCTCTGGCACTTTTTAAAAGACTTAATATTCTATTTATTTTGTGCAAGTGTTCAACAATTGTATTTATGCAAGAACTTTTTTTTTTGGCAATCTTCGTTTTTATTGAAGCACAGTATGTATACAGACAGAGAATAAACAATTGTAAAGCTTACAGACGTCAAGCATGTTGTCGCACATACGGCAATGCTCCCTCCCTGTTTCCCGCCTGTATTTCCCTACCCAGCCTCTGTGAGTAACTGAACAACCGAGCGCAACTGCGCGAACTGAACTTTAGAACGTGTTCCGTATATCTCTACGGGGGAAGATAGGGTAAGGGAATCGAGTATTCCTCTTGTTTTCCTCCCTTTCATTTTTCCCCCCCTTTTCCGCTTGAGGGGGGGCTAATCTCTTCTCCCGCTTTCGTCCTGCTCGAGTATTTGGCTTGAGAGAATGACTCTAAGTTAACAAGTCAGTGACCAATATCTGTCCGGGGTGTGTCAGTGTAAGGTCAGTCATACATGGTATGGGAGAGGAGAAGTGGAGGAGCAAAAAAAAAAAAAGGAGGGTAGGTGAAGAAGGGAAGGGGGGATGTCGGCCAAGGCGGGGGGAAGGGAGGGGGTGAATCCGCCAGCCCCCCCACACCCCACGTCCCAACCCCGCGCGTGCCGGCGCTCACATGCAAGAACTTTTGTTTTGTTAAAATCAGAAAATAGGGCATTGCTTAAAGTATTATCAGTGGTTTTAAGTGGAATAACTAAAATATATGCCAAAGATTTGGTTAATTTCTGTGACCTGATAAATAAAGAACTGTTCCTTTTGCATATTTTTTTGTTGTGAGTAAAAATGCTATCCCGCCAGATTTCTGGGGGTTCTTACACCCATGGATGTAAACAACCTTTTTACTCTGCAGAGTGGGGTCAGTCACCTAAACATTTATTCTAGCACAATAGTATCGGGAATGCATGTTTGTATTCATAATACTATAGTGTTCCTTTAAAGAAGAAGTACCTGTAATCAGTATTCCATCCGTCAAGGTTTACACTGTCCACATAAATGAACAAGGTCTATACACGAAAACAATATATTAAGATGAAGTGATTTTCATGCTGAAACCACGATAAGCATTCCATTCCATACAGGTATAGATCCTTTAGGTACCAGAGCGTGATGACCACATTAAAAATCATTGGTAGATAAGTAGTTAAAAAACCCTTTCCATAGATACTTTCCTTATATATGCAGGTAGTCCTCACTTCCTGTCCGTCTAGCAGCTGGAATTCCTCCAAACATAGACCTGCTCTCTAGCGAATCCTCACTTACCGACCAATTCGTTTTACAACCGAGTCGTAGGAAAAGAACCCGGTCGGTAAGCGGGGTTCATCTGTAATCACATCTTGTATCTGTACATTTATGTATTGACACCTCTTGCTTTAAACTTACAGAATGAGCTTCTTGGCTGTAATATTGGGATTCTTTGCTTATACAGTGATGTAAGGCTTTTCGAATTTACCCACCTAATCTGAATTTATCTTTTCTTCTTTTTTTTCTTTATTTAGTGTGAAGTGTTCCAGTTAATAAAAAATGATTTTATTCAAGCTAATTGTGGATGTTTACAAAAAGGAGAATTCGAGTTATGATGGTGAATCGTTCTCTTTGGAGCCTGATATTTAATTGTTGAAGGCCGAATGTTCTTTAACCATTTTTTTATTTTATTTTTATGTTCTGTCTCAATATATTTATCACAAAACTTATTTTCTTTTTCTGCTGCTATGAAAAGAGTAGAGAAAGTATAAATCAGAATATCGGCATCCTCTTGTAATAAACATTGCCTTTTTGTCACTTGTTTAAAAAAATTTCCTTGTGATTTATTTCAATTTTATGTTTATACAGTTTTACATCCATTGTTTAGGTTGTAAACTTGTAACATATTGAGCAAATAGTGCACTAGGAATCAGATAAACCTAATATCATTCCTTAAATACCTGCGCTGCTAACGTATGTCCATGATCTCACAAATTCTCACAAATTCACAATGTTGTTTTGTTATACATAGACAGATTCAATTTACTAAATTACTCTACTAGCGACCTATGTCAACATGACCATTCTCTGCTAATTAAATTGTCATGTGTCAAATTACACTTGGCATAGATTGTGACACTTGAACCCATACACAATGGAGGTAACTTTGCATCAGTAATAATAAATAGAATATAACAATAAGGAGTGAGCTGCTAACGTCTCTCAGTAGAGATATCCGAGAGACTGGGAACAGCAATGAGAGAATACGAGGCAACTGAGTGGCTTAACATACAGAAGCAATTGGTAGAAAATCTGTGAGTTAAGTCTTTTGGAATAAGTGAATATATTGATCAATAACGATGGATATTTACTGTGAGTGGCAGAAATTTCTGTAATAACAATATAGTGGCTGAAGATAATAAACAGAGCTCTGATTCCAGAGATGAAACGGGGTGCAGGAGTGAGAGCAATCGGGTAGCGTAGGATGGGATTTGGATCCTGGAGGGTGCAAACATGAAGTGGTGGTCCAAGGGAACAAAGGTCAAGGAATGGGTACAAAGGTCAAGAGTCAACAAAGGAGCACATGGACAATCTGAGTTAATAATCAGGACATACGGGGGGCGGAGCCTGGCTGTGGAGCTGATCAGACGTGTGTAACACGAGCTCCAGCCTGAAATCCCTGTTCAAGCGAAATAAACTTGGTTCTCATGATACAATCTCATCAAAAACACACCACCCTGGTAGGAGATGCAGGCTGGATCGTACGGAAACTACTCCCGTAACGCTGAGCCACCGAGAACGCGGGCTGCATCACTGGGGCCTACCGCAGCAACAACAAGCCTGACTAGAGGCCTAAGTGGAGGTAAGGGAGCGGGTGAGGCAGCCGATCACACAGCCTGGGGCTCCCCAAAAGCCAATATTAACACTGCGGAGGACAAGCATTCCTCCCGCCGGTGGGGGACATCCCGGCAACAACAGCACACCCTCCGCTGACTCACACATCCCAGGGACTACAATCTCCTAGAGTCACTGACCCCAAAATGGCGGATGCAACGAGCAAGCCGGCAAACGGGGGACTGCGGAGAGCAGCTGAATAACACACTGATCAAGCTGGACACTATCCTTGCTGCCTTCTGGGCCGGGATCTCGGAGAGGGCGCTGACCACAGCTAACGTCAAGCGGTCTAATCCCGCGCAACTACACCCGGCATCCACAGGCCCAAGGGGCGGACGCAGACCAACAGTCACTAGAAGTCCCTTCAAAAGGCGCTGAAGAAGGGATCGGAGACACAAATCGACACGCAGAGCCTGCCTCAAGACAAGCGGGTGCCTCAAGCCGCGTCAAAACCGCACCGTATATATGGCGCCCAGCCCACAGGGACGGTGCCGACCACCAGACGGAAACAAACTTCCCCACCATAAGCCGGTAACCTGGCGCTTTGCCGGACATTTGCCTTTGATGTTCTGTGTGATGGAGGCCCCCGGGGTATGTACCAGGCACCCAGAAGGGATCGGATAAGCACAAGCAGGAGTGTGGAGTCTGCCAGGCATGTCTTGCTATAAAAAGACGTCCACATTATGCCGTTACTCCTATGATCTGCTCTCCACAAGTTAGCTATTCATAAAGTAACAATTGGTTTTAAAAATGCTGTTATTTCACCTCCCGAAGAGTCTATAACCATGGTCCCTCATACAAATATCTACTATATTTACTATACCCGCTTATGTATCTTGTTATTGACCAGTCTTGTCTCCTGGGACACCTTCAGTTTGTATTAACACTAGCGGTAGGGCTGCTGACATGTCGTAACAGTTGATAACGTGCAAATCACACCCTAACCACAACAGCTGTCGTTCTTTATAATGCAATGCCTTAGACTTACAAACCCCAGCGCTACTAGCCATGTTAAATACACGTTCAGTCTAGCATGCTACACTATACTACCTTTATGTTTAACTGCCTGTATTCCTCATGTTATATTTTTTAAAAATGTGCTGTCTAAACTGCAAAATTTTATGTAAATGCGTGCAGAAGCTGTCGTGGCTCTGTGCGCTTGTTGTGAATCTGATCACATGAAAAATAAAGAATAAAAATAATTTTAAAAAAAAATTATTAAATGTCTTGTAACTCTTAATTATGAAATCCACACCTGACGTTGTTTAAAAAAAAATAAAAAATAAAAATAAATAATCAGGACATAAACTAAGGATTACAAATGACAATGATGAAGGTAAGAGTTTGTGTACTTCCAAAGTCTACAAGGCAATAAGGTTACACATGGCAAGGCAAGACGAGGCGACTCGGTAATTGAGCAATGATGTTAGCAAAAGGCAATGGTTAAATAGGCATTAATTGATGGGAAGCTAGGGATCAAACCTTGACATCACTGAGTAAGAAACATCATTGTTAACCCTTCTACGGGCATTCTGAACTGCACACTCCCGAACCAAGGACTACATTCAGGAGTCAAATTATGTGATTTGTCAGGATGGAGATCATCAGCATAAACATCAACACGTTCTGCCCCCAAAAATTCCTCTACAACATATGCTTTCCATTTTAGCAAATAATCAACCTTTTATATCAGACTCTCGAGTCAATGTTTTCCTAAATCTCAGATTCTTCTAGATGGGCTTAACCCATCATTTAAAGCTTCAGTAGGGATACCTGAAATATTGGATGGATTCTATACAAGCTTTGCAAGGACAGTCTATAACAAACAATTAGTTTGGGACTCAATTTTAAGTGGACCAGTCAGGATATCACTAGAGATCTGCATTTGTTTTGGAGATGGAGAAAGCATTACAGCCCTACAATTTTACTATTAGCTACAGACCCGGTAAGCTGAAAGGGAATGCAGATGGGTTATCCCGACAAACTGACGTCTCCACCACCTCCTAGTCCGGTCATCCCCAAGTTGACCCGCCAAAGGGTCAAGCCGGGTCTGCCGGAGTGTCCCACAAGGAGGTAGCCGTGTGACAGAACCATCTGTCTGTTTATTGCGGTGGATTCGTCTGTTTCTGCCCCGTTCGTGTAAATGGCTGTTTCCTATAGCCCAGCCATACGAATGACTGATTTCCCGAACTAAACTACCGAACGGATGGCCACCCAGGAGAGAAGTGTGCTGCTGGTTAACCTATTGATCCCAATTAGAACGTTGTGGTTAACCGCAGACACTTCTCAATTAAACCGAATTCAGGGTGGTCGTCGTTCGTATGTTGACCACGAGGCAGCTGCCATTTTAAAACACGCGAAAGCCCAGCGGTGTTCGGCTCTATTTTCATGGAACTAAAAATGCACAATTTTTCTGCCCAACACCGCTGAAACAACAGAACGCCTGGCTGCCTCCACGAAAGCATACGAACACCGGCCGTTTGGGAGTTTTGAAACACACGAAAGGACTTAACCCAGACAGCCTTCCCATGGAGTCAATCACATACCGAAAGACTGTAAGAACTTTGACTCCATGGTGATTGAACTATGTGTGTGGGATCTGAGCGCTATTCGCTAATAATATGCACTCAGATCCAGGCTATCTGGGGATATGTGATGCGAATGGGAAATGTTTGGTTATTGTAAAGTTATATATTTTTATGTATTTTCTAATGTTATATTTAAGATGGCGATTTGTCTTTGTCCTGGAGATAATTGAATTACTTCTCAATTATCTCCAGGGCAGAGGGGAGGAAACCATAGTGCATTGTGGGTAAAAGCTGTGACTGTATGTCTGGAATGTCTTTATGTCCATCTGTAATTCCAGTCTCCCATTTGGTCCCCTAGGGGAGTGTCCACCAAGTGGGAGACCTGCATAAATACGGGCAGGTAGCCCACAGTAAAGCCAGATCCTGTTTGACCCTCAATGCGGAGCTTCTGTCTCGTTATTGGGGGGATTTCTTCTTTGCGCTTAGAGACTGCTGGATGGAACCGAAAGCCGCTTGGTGGATATCGTTGTTCGGCGGCTAGCAGCAGTTCGTGGATTTCCGTTCGGGAGTTTGGAGCCTTTCACGGATCCCGTTTGGGAGAATACCGCTTCCCCTGGTTATGGTTCGTGGATTATAATTAATGCGAACGGTTTACGGAATTGCGAAAGGGGAAGGTGAACTAAACGGCAGTTTCCCTTAAAGACACCAGGGGTGTCTTAACACACAGTATTATACGGATGGTAGTAGCTATGTGAAAGAAGGAATTTGCTATGCAGGATATGCGGTAACAACTATAGACAAGGTGATAGAGGCACGGCCACTGTCAAAAGGGACATCAGCACAGAGGGCAGAATTGATTGCATTGACACGGGCCTTGCAATTGGCTGAAGGGTTGAAGGTGAACATATATACTGATTCAAAATATGCATTTTTAACCACTCATGCCCATGGAGCCTTGTATAAAGAAAGAGGGTTGTTGAATTCGGAAGGGAAAGAAATCAAGTATGCAGCTGAAATACTTCAACTATTGGAAGCAGTATGGGAGCCAAAGGAGGTCGGTATTGTTACGATTGCCCCCGGTCTAGCAGGAGGGTTGATCGCTTGGATGTCCTGGTTCCCGCTGCAGAGAGTCGAACGGAGGTCTTTCGGTGGTAAGCTGCAAATGTAGAATATCCCTAAGCACGATATAAGCATCAATATCCCCGATACCTACAACATGAGTCGAGGCTGCAAGTTGAGGGTCAAAACGAACTGGCTTTACTGGCACATAGCATGGCAATTTATGTGATTCCTCAGGTCCAAGGACAGCCCCCTGTGGACCTGATGGAATACAGGTACAGTACAAACAGGTAACCAATCACAGTATAGTGTATCCTTTGAATTAGTACCCGCCCAGCTTGGAGATAATGAGGCCAACAGTTATACAATCTAATTATCTCCAAGCGCACAAAAGACCACGTTTTATTCTTTCCCCAAAAACTGTATAAAAATACATAACTTTCACATTAATAACAGGAAATAGCTCATTCTACCATTCATCTAAAGGCTCTCGTTCGTATATTTTAAACATGCGAATGGCGCTTCAATCCCACGAACAGAATGAGCCATTGCTGCCGTATAATGCCCGTTCGGCATTTTGGGATTGTAAGTCTCTGTTGGCGGCCATGTTTTTAGACGGTTCAGCGGGCAGCGGGACCTCGCTTCTAACTCGTGGAACTAAACTCGGTATCAGTTCATGCGAAGTCCCGCTGTCTGTCTGGTAGTGGAACTCGTTCGGTACGTGAATGAGGACCACCTGGTAGCAGGGTACTTGACCTGCGGTTAACCGCAGAAACCACAAGTTAATGATCGCCACGCGGCCCGCTGTAGGGGGTCGTCATTCGGTTGGTAGTTCAGTAGATCCCGTTCTGTATTTTCGATGCGAACGTCGATGCCCCCAGGCCTATCAATTAAGTTGTGGTTAACCGCAAACCGCAGCCGCCTGGGTGGTTAATGGCTGCCACACGCCGCTGGCCGGGTGGTCGAGCGTTCAGTAGTTTGCGGGGTGACGGAGTTAAGTGGCGGCACACGCCAAGTTCTGGGGGGTCCCCTGTTCGTACCACGAATGGAGTCTTTATAATGGTTTGGGTAATCCATTCGTGCGTCTTTCGTTTTAAACTTATACAGGGACAAACAGTATCCATTGATTAACTAACAGTAACATAGTTATTTCCAGACTTTTGTAACAGGTATTATACATTGTAGAGCACATCAGAGAGGCGATAGTGATGTGGTAAAAGGAAATCGCATGGCAGATAGTGCGGCTAAGCGTGCTGCTGAATCTGGACAGGAGTAATATGTGGGGTACGTCGCTGCCCTTGTGCCAGCCCCTTTGTCTCAATGGACTCCGATTTATACAACTCAAGAGATGGAGTGGTTGAAGACTGAAGCGGGAAAATATTTGGAGAACAATTGGTATCAGTTAGAAGATGGAAGAGTAGTCATTCTGACATCTCTGGCTATAGAGATTGTTCAGAACTTCCACAATGGCACACATACAGGAAGAGATAGTATGGAAGAATCTCTCAGGAAACATTTCTATATCCCAAGATTATCCAATCTTACTAAAGCCATTGTTCGAAGATGTGTTCTGTGTGCAAAGAACAACGCAAGACAAGGCCCTGTTAAACCTCCTGGGGTCCAGTATATGGGAGGACTCCCCATGTCAGATCTACAAATAGACTATACAGTAATGCCTAAATCTGGAGGATATCATTATCTGTTGGTAGCTGTGTGTACCTAC